GTTGATATAGATGATTCAAAATATAAGTATATCAGTATAACATATCAGTAAACATTTTACATAAATTATGATGAACAATTAGGAATATTATGGATATGCAAGTGATATTACAAGAACATGGCCTGTTAATGGAAGATTTACTCAACCACAAAAAGAATTATATGAAGCAGTTTTAAAAGTTAACAGAGAATGTATAAAAGTAAATAAGTAATCAAATAAATATAAATATATGCATTTACATACATTAAATTTATATAATATATATATATACACACACACACACATAACTAGCTTTGTACGGAAGAACAAAACATTTCCTTGAATGGTATACATGAATATTCTGTCAAAATGATGAAGGAGGAATTATCTCCACTCGGATTTGATCTTGTTAAAGGGGTAAAAATTTTAATAATGATGAAATTATTATTTATTTATTTATATCTACTAATACTAATATTCATTTTGTTTATTTATTAAATCAAATTTCATCTAAGGTAAGTGATTGATTTAACTTCATCATCATCACATCTGATAAGATTATAATCTATTTATTTATGTTTACTAAATCTTAATATTCATTTTATTTATTTATTTCTTAATACAATAATTTAATCTAATCTTATCAGATGTGACACAACGTAACATATTATTTACTAATATATTTATTTATTTATTAATTAATTAATGCAGGTAAAATAAATGATTAATTCAATCTTATCTTATCAGATCTGATACAACGCAACATTTATTTATTATATTATTTATATTAATATTCAAATAAAGGATGTTGATCGTGTCTTGTACCCACACCATGTTGGACATTATCTCGGATTGGATGTTCATGACACACATGACATTGATCGTTCAAAAATATTGAGAAAAGGAATGGTTATAACTATTGGTATTTATTTATTTATTAATTTATTTTCACCTGATCACTTTTCTGGTTTTTATTTATTTATATGAACTTTTAAATAATTGTGCTATAGAGCCAGGAATATACGTTCCTCGTAATAAAGCGTACCCAGAACAGTATCACGGAATGGGCATACGTATAGAAGATAACGTGTTGGTCGGGGAAAGTGATCCGATCGTGTTGAGTTCTAGTGCACCAAAAGAAATTGTTGATATTGAATATTGTATGAACAAATAAATAAACAAACAACAAACAAACGAATGAATCTAGAATCTAGAAGATTAATAATTTTATTTTTAATTTTTACTTTTGCCAAGAAATAAATTAAAAATTAAATTATTTTCATAACAAGTTTTTAATTGTAAAAATTTATTTTACTTTTTTTTGCCTTGTTATTATTATTTATCTTTTTTTCCTCATCAACTTATTATTAAAAGAATAAGAAAAAATGCAAAAAATAAAAGAACTTTCGCAAATTTAAGATTTTATCGTGTAACAACCACCACTACTACGTCAATAAACAACAAATATCTTTTTTAGGTTTCAAGTGTTAGTGTAAGTGTATGCTCTAAAAGGAATTTTTAATTTATTATTTTCCATTTTGTTGTTAAGAAAATTTATATGAACTTTATTATAAAAATAAAAGTAACTCGTATAAATAAATTTTTTTTTAAAATAATCAACAGAAATAAAACTATCAATTAAATTAGATAGTATAAAAAAATTAAAGTTTTTTTTCTTGTTACATAACTTCTAGCCAAAGAATCAAACAATAAATAATAAATAAATGAGTCGGATGAGATGAATTGTTGTTTAGTACGTGCTTGATTAATCAATCTTTGATTAATTAATAATCATATTCAAATAATTGCTAGTTATAAATGATAAATATTTTATTTCGTTTGTTTTGATTTTTTCATCGATAACTATATGCATTATTATTATTATATTTATATTTATATTATAATAATATCTAATTCTAATAATAATTATCACTTTTATACCACCATATTTTTTTATAATATACCATACTATCATCCCCCTATCATCTCCACCACTCTCCACTTTTCTCATATTTATTAATCAATTTTATTTTTATCTTGCGCGTTTTTAGCAGCAATTTTTTTTGAAACAGTCCAAAAAATCCAAAAACTTCCAATTAGAACAACTAATATTGTCCATAGTTCAACAATCTTTAAATGATTCAATTGACCAATTGGTACTTTAACTAATTCTATTGGCCAATGGTTTTGTTGTATGGGTAGAATATATTTAATTTGTTTTCTTTTATTATTATAAAAAAGTGATAATGGTAATGGTGTTTGTGAAAATAACGGATCTTTTATCACAATCCAAAAATAATTAAAAAAAAAACAAGCAATTAATTAGTTGAATAAAAAAATGTGAATTCAAAAGTAATCAATCAATTTGGTTTCCTTCTCAATCATATGATTATGATTCCTTATTTAAAAGTTATTAAATTATTAGATTATTAAAAAAAAATAATAAATGAAGTTGATAATTTGTTTTAACAGTGCAATGTATATCAATATCCTTCCTTAATTTCATCACACAGGTGGCCATACACATTGTAAAACATCTGCTACAATATCACCAGATGTCAAGACTTTTGACAATAGTTTTCTTCTTCTCATCAAAGTTGTTATACTTGTACCATACATGATACTCTTATCATCTTTAATGTCTCTTAAGATCAACCTATGACAAAAAACCTTTTCACTGGCAAACAAAACCAACTTTGGGGTTACATAATGATGTTGAAGAATAGCCGCCAAAGCTCTTTAGTAATAATTGATCGATTGATTATAAAATTAATATTTTTGTTTTTGCTTTTGTTTTTTTATATATTTATATAGCTTGCTTACTTGATAAGAGTCACAAAATCCAAATATGAACGAGCTGTAACACCACCTTTAACTAAACGGTGTGTACGTATTCCAACAACAACATCCCTAATATATCTTTCCATATCATTATGAACAATCACATTATCTATTTTATTAGAAAGTTCTTCAATATCCTATAATAAATTATATATATATATTTATTCATCTGTATCTTTTTTCTCAATTACATGTATTTTTATTTTTTTAATTGTTACTTACAGAATTTCTAATAAGTGCATTACGACGATTAACATTCATTGGAGATCTTCCTCCGCCTGATGGTATTCCAATGACACTTTCATATGTATAACTAATAAAAAACCTATCAAGCTTTTATAATTTAAAAATACAATAAAAATAAAATAGAACCGATAATCAATAATCAACAATCAACAATCAAAATGAAAAAGAGTATTTGTTCACTTACCAATTGTCTAGGTATATCATAACTATTACTATCTGTGATAGGTAGCAAAGCAACAATTATAAAGGGTTTGGGTAAACCGCAAACTGAAGACCTATCAACAACTTGTTTTTTAACAAGAATCTAAAAAGCACCGTAACAAATAAATTTTTTTTATAATAATCATTAGTTTCATCTAAAAATAGAACTCAACTTCATCACTACCTACCTCCATTAACAAAGCATGTATCGTTTCATTTGCCTCGGTTAAACTTTCAATAATCACCGCATGTGCTAGTTTACGAGAATTTGAAAAGTAAGGAGATGGAGGATCAAAAATACCTGCTGTACTCAAACTTTCGTGTTTTTTCTTAGAGAATGTATAATCACTTGGTGTGTTAGGTGTCTGTGTTGGTGAAGGACTTATGTGCGGTTGATGATTGATTGGTTGTGTATTTTTGCGCGATTGTCCGGTGCTAACACTTAGTTTTGGACGAATTGATAATAACAATGTTGATGACATTTTCTCGGAAGTATTACTGTTGTCATTAGGTTGTTGCTTTATCGAGGTTGATGAAATGGCAGTGTTTTTTCTACGTGATGTCTTTAGACTTGATGATCTATTAAAAGAAATATTTGATTCTTTAGGACCATCATAAAGACGTGAACGCTCTCTGTGCTGATTTTTAACAATAATATATAAACCAAAAAGTAAATTAAAAAAATAAAGTAAATTATGACTAATAATGTGTCAATAATAACAATTTACTAACTTAAATAAACCTTTTGTGAGTTGTTATCTCCTGAATCTGGATACAATGTATTTGATCCCATTGATTCATCACCGCCACCAATTATACCGCTAGATCCTGCTTGACTATATTCAAGAGTATTTGATTCAGTGTTCAACAAATCTTTTGGATTTGATGAATTGTATGACATATTGGAACGTCGTTTAGTTCGGGCCAAATCATGCGCTGTTGATGTTACCGTTAATTTCTTATCATTGGATTTATTAGAGTCGACAGTTCTCAACGATCTAGAAGATTTTTGTGTTTTTATTGTAATTTCTTCAGGTGCATCATTAGATAATAAATACAAATTTTCATCTCTTGCTTTGTTAATAAAAAGACTTGATGTGAATTCTGCAATTGTTTGTGACTCTTCACAATTAATTGTGGCACAGGTTAAGCCAAAAATAATTTGAAATATCTATAAATTGTAATTGATTTTCTTTTAAAAAACTTGTTGAGAAAGATAACAAACAAAAAACAAACAAACAAACAACAGCAAAGACTTGCTTGTTCAGTCATGTTTCGTAATTCTTCCATATTTTCTTGCTTGCAAATCAAGATCAAATGTTTCTCTCTAGAAATCAAGCATACTAAAATAGATATTAGAACTTCATCAGAAAAATGAAATCCAATCACCCGTTTAATAGTTTGAAGTTTGGCTTTCAACCAGCTTTTCGTTGATGGTGGTGGTGTTTCTGAATGCATCTACCGCTTTTGACGACGATTTATACGATTTATTTTTTTATTGTTATATATATATAATATAATTCAATATTTTATTTATCGTTCTATGTTGTTACACGAATAGCAAGTTTATTATTATATATATAATTTTTTCATTTATATACACAAATAAAAAAACCAGGCTAGGAACATTCTGACAAAGATTCTTTTTTCAAATAATCAATGATCAACTCAAGTCAACAATGTCGGTTGACAATGTGGTAAAGGTATGAAAAAAAAATTTTTTTAGTAAGATTAGGTTAGAGTATTGTTTACACAGACAGAAACAACACATGTTTTCTAATAGAGTAATATTAAAATGAAGCTTTTAATTAATTAAAAGGTTGCAAACATTTCGTCTAAAGTATCGGAATTAGTTTTGAAAAAAATATTTGAACATTTAGGAGAAGTTACAAGTATCACTTTATATAATAGGTAATTTTTTCCAAATGGATAAAAAAAAAATTAATTAATAATAAACAATAATGCAAATAATTAATAGTAATAATAATAATAATATAATAATTAATAGTAATAATTGTTATTATAGCCCTCATGGGGATAACGTACAAGAATGTACGATAGAATTTAAAGAAGTATCATCTGCCATGACAGCTTTACATCTAACTGGCATGGAATTAGGTGATCGCGCATTATTAGTTTCATCGACGTTAGCTCCAGTTGGAATAAATGTTAATAATAATAATAATGGTACCAGCAGTGGCATAAATCTTAATAATAATATTAATAGCAGTAATTCATATCAACAAATGATCATATCACCATCAATGTCCCAAATAACTATACCACAATCTATTATAGCACCACATAGACCAATACTGCAAACAAAGCCGTCTATCACAATACCACCAAAGCCTATGCTTCCTACAACTCTAACATTCCCCACATTTACTACACAATCTCTCACGACTATAAGATCTGCCAATCCTTCGATTTCACCAACCGTTGCGCAATTTGACCCTGCAAAAGCAGAAGAAATTTCACGTACTGTCTATATTGGCAATATAAATTCATCGATTTCTGATCCTGAGCTCATACAATTTTTTTCTGCGTGTGGGCCTGTTGCCTATGTAAAAATGGCTGGTGATCCAGCTCAACCGACTCGATTTGCTTTTTTGGAGTTTGCAACATTTGAAGGTGCACAGGCTGCAATGTTGATGAATGGTGTGATGCTTGGAGATCGACCATTAAAGTAAGTTCAACCACTTATATATATCTCGAGTTGATGGTTCATTGATTTTCAATGTCAGAAACTGGAAAAAAAAATTTATTAATTAATTTTAATAATATTCACAATATGATTTATAGAGTCAATCATTCAAAAAATGCCATTAATAAAACACCCAAAAAAACAGATGCACCAGACGTTCAAGCAACAATGCGTCGAGTTAGAGAGGCGCAATTGAGAATTGCAAATCGTTTAAATACAGATGTCCCACTATCAGATGCACTTTCTTCTTCGACATCTGCACTACACACATTAACATTACAACAGCAACAACAGCAACAACAACAGCAACAGCAGCAGCAACAACAACAACAAGACATTGAGAAGTTATTGGCTACTGCTAATGCATCATTGGATGTTGTTGCTAGTACAAATGTACCTCGTAGTAGATCAAGATCTGTTAAACGTAGCAGAACTAGATCTAGAACAAGAAGTGGAAGTCGAACTAGAAGACGTAGAACAAGTCCTAGATCAAAATCAAGAGAGAGGGGTAAGGTTTATAAAAAACATTATGCATATTCATATGCGTATGTTATATGTTTAAAAAAATTTATTCTTGTTTTTTTTTTTTATAATGATGATTTCGAATTTTAATTATTTTAGATTTTTATTATCGTACACGTGCCAGAAGTCATTCAAGAGATAGACTTCGAGGTTTGTTCAAGTAGTATTTTTTTAAAAGAAGAAATAGATTGTTTTTCTGTTTAATTAATTAATTTACATTTATTTTATATAGCTGATAGATATAGATATAGGGATAGGGAGAGGGATAGAGATATCGAGAGAGATAGGGAGAGGGAGAGGGAAAGAGATAGAGACAGAGATCGGGCTAGAGATCGAGATCGGGCCAGAGACAGAGACAGGGATAGGGACAGGGACAGGGATAGGGACAGGGACAGGGATAGGGATAGGGACAGGGACAGAGACAGGGACAGAGACAGAGACAGGGATCGCGATAAAGACAAAACTAAAGAACGTGATCGTGATCGTGATCGCGATAAAGAAAAGTCAAAGGATAAGGACAAGGAAAAGGATAAGGATAAAAAACGGGATAAAGAAAAAGACATTGGCGAAAAGATAAGCGAATCCGAAAAAGATAAAGACCGTGAAAAGGATAAAATTAAGGATCGTGATAGAGAGAAGGATCGAGACAGAGACAGAGAGAAGGATCGAGACAGAGACAGAGAGAAGGATCGAGACAGAGACAGAGAGAAGGATCGCGACAGAGAAAAGGACCGCGACAGAGAAAAGGATCGTGACAGAGAAAAGGATCGCGACAGAGAAAAGGATCGTGACAGAGATAAGGATCGTGACAGAGATAAGGACCGCGACAGAGACAGAGAGAAGGATAAACAAAAAGATTCAGACAAGTATTTAGAAAAAGAAAGAGATAAGGATAAAGATAAAGAAACTTATCGAGATAGGACCAGAGATAAAGATAGGCATAAAGACAAACAATCAGAAAAAGAAAAGGATAGAGATAGAGATAGAGATAGATATAGAGAAAAGGAAAAGGATAGAGAAAAAGTAAAAGATAAAGACCATCAATGATAATAATAAATTTTTGTTATTCAATATGTAAAATTTTTTATTTTAATAAAATACTATTACTACATTATAATTATGCTTATACATCTTTTGATAAAATGATTATCATGCAGAGATTGATCTGAATTTCGCTCAGGTATTACCGATTTTGGCATCATACTAAAGAATCGCATTAAAATTATCATGAATCTTTAAAAATTTTAAATACCGAACCGATACCACCATTAAGACAACATTCTTTATGCTTATATGCGTTTGCCGAATATTCATTCTTGTGTGAGTTTATATTAAATAACATAGTATTTATATAAATACCTTTAATCCATTAAGTTATTATTATTATTATTATTTTAACTCTCTTAAACATTAAAATTTATAAATATAAATATATAAATATATATATATCCTTTACGATGGTAATAGTTAACCAAAACTCGCCATTCTTCTAGTTGAGTTAAAATAATAAACATGTATTTTTCTTTTATGAGTAAAATCACTTGTGAAGGAACTCTCTATTTGTTCTAATCTTGGAAACAAAGATATCTAAGAATCACTAATTTATTAAATACGCAATAAGGTAATGGTAGTTTTTGTTTATGTTTTATTGAAGTTGAATTTTATTTTATTATTATAAAATTATATCAAAGTGATGACGATGTCATTAAGGAACTGAAGGCATAACTTTTAACTGACCATTCTTTTTCGTTTCTTTAATGAACCATACCTAAAATTTTGCAAGGAAGTCACAAAGGATGTATATACGAAATATCACGCCTCTTGTTAAAAATACGTGCTGATGTACTAGTGACAGATAAGAAGGCTAATTCGATTTAACAGTATATTGTTAGTATTGTTACGAATAGTCGAAATTGCTATTCAAAAGTATCATGAGCACTTTTGAAAATTTTCCTAGGTTCGAATTAAAATGACCAAAAGCTTTTGAAGATTTGAGTAAAGGGTGGAGGTTGCGAATAGGAACGCTACGACAGGCAGCGGTAGAAACGTGTTGCCACGTTCCGGAAACGAAACGTAATACTAATACTAATTATAATGACGAATAAAAGCAAATGTCCGAGTTTCGCGCGTGGTATGTTTTTAATATTGGTTCTTTGAAATACAAGTGATGTAAACCTGCCATTGACAATTATAGAATCAGCCATACACCTAACAAGTGTATATACGTGACTGAAACGCGGATTTTTTAAAAAAGAGATAAATGTACATACACACATATTGATTATTAATGATTACCAGTTGTTGATTCTTCTAGCTTATCTATAAATCGATTTTAACAAAGATTACCTTATGGTCAGCAATTAATTTGTCAGGGAAAATGAAAATAAAACAAGGCCTTGTTTAGAGCCAATTAAATTGCTTTGCACATAGTAAATAAAGAAAGCATGGATTGAAATGGATACGTAGTAATAATAATAATACATTATATTAATAGATCTACAAATATCACTATTTATCTTGTATTTAATTGATAAATAATAAAAAACTCTTGTACCATAATAACAAATGATAACACTAACCATCTTTAGTTTCTTGAAAACAATGAGCATGATGATGGTTGTGGTGGGAAGTATGACATACATCCACCACAAGCCATTTCTGCACTGTCTACGAAATATATCAACAAGCAGATAATTCGTCATTATCGTATTTTCCTAAATCAGGACGCATGAAAGTTACCCTTAAGAGGTTTTGATAACGTTTGTTTACTTTATTATTTATTATTTATTTTATTTTACAAGAACTAAACAAAGTATTTTTTTAAATAAAAAGGCGGACGAAATGATCTTCAATAATGCATAATCTCTATATAATAGGATTTGTTTACTAGTACTAACTAACACTAGTATATTTAAAGACACTCCAACATTTTACACGAGCAGGATAATCATCAAGTCATAAGCTAATAAAACTTACTAATACTAATGGCGAGTAGGTTGAATTCCGTCAATGAATGGGTGATAACAGTAACGCTTTTCTTTTTCATTGAAAGTAAAAGGTCTATGAATCACGTGTACGGATCAACAATGGCTTACCAGAATCCATTATTTATCTTTACCACGTTAAACAAAAAAAGTCTCAAGACAAAAGCCACTTTTGGGTTTATTGTATGGTTAGCCTGCTTTTATTTCTTTGATTTCACTTGTACCGTAATTAGATAGATGCTCGTCTCGTCTGAAAGCATAATGGAGAAATTAAGGTGATATGGTTATGCGCTAACACTAAATTTTAAATGGGGATTGATTATTCAAAGATGTGTGTGATATTCATACATTTATTTCATATTATTAATTTAATATTAATAATAATAATTGATATAAATATAAATAAGTGTACATAATGTATATATCAATAAACAATGGATAAATAAATAAATGAATGTCAAAACAATAGTTAACATTAAATTTGTAAAGAACGACGACATGTTACAGTCCAGTACAAATACAGCACACTAAAAACTACAAGCCTGAAATCACACATAATCAACAACTACAACCTTAATTCATCATCACCATCATCACCATCATCACCCTTCCATTAGAACACTCATTCCTATCCCAAAAATAAATAAATGAAATGAATTTACCATTGTGAATTAAAAAGGATTTTATTTATGGCTTGGTCTGTTTCATTCGTCATGAAACAGCTAACTTTTTCCTCGCTCATTATTTTAAATTCATTATTATTTTTACATTTTTAGCGATGGTATTTTAACATATTCCCTGGAATTTTGATCATTGTATTACACAATGTACAGTTTAATTTTTATTTAGACAATTAGATAGATATAATTAGATATTAATAATATCAATACCAATATTTAAAAAACTCCGAAATTTAATAATAATAATTATTATTATTATTTCAAATTTTTTTTTTTAATAAGCGAACAAAAAAACAAATAATACTTGTGTAACTTATATAACGCATATAACCAAGCCATAAATAGCAAATTGGTACGGAATGTTACACGTAACATAGATATTTTTAAACTAGGTCTGCTCTTTTGAAAGTTCTTTTTTTGATGTTCGTAACTTGTTTCCTGCCAAATAAATGAAATAAAATGAATGAAATTCCGTGCATGGAGGGTTAATTCAATTAATATTGTGTGTTATTGTTAATATTATTTATTATGTTATTATCATAATGTTATTATTATTTATTATGTTTGAGATTAAGTTGCTTGGAATTGAGTTGTGAAAAATAAAATAAAATACATGTGAGGTTAAATTTTGATTTTGATTAAATTTTGATTTGATTAAATTTTGATTTAAATTTTGATTTTGATTATTTTTAATATTAAATATTGAGTTCATTCATTATTTATTATTACTTACTATTTATTTATCTGTTGCTGCCTGTAACCTATTTGACCAACCAACTAAACAAACAAAATTAAAAACACAAAAACAAACAAACATTTGCTCATTGTATTTTTTTTTTTTTTTTTTTTAACTAGCTAATTATCATTTATATTTTACAATCGAACATATAAAAAGTTGTTCTTTAATATAAATTTTCCTTTGCATCAACAATTAATTAATTGATGTCGTCGATATCATTAACAACATGAAGGGACTTTACAATAAATATTTATAGTTAATTCAATCAATGGAAGGGAAAATCGATGGAAAAAAAAAATTAAAAAAGAAGATATTCTCAGAAAGAAAAAGATTTGCTTGTTGCATGTATATTTATTATTATTATTTATTCAAAGCATTTGGTTATATAGGAAAAGAGAGAGAGAGAAGGAGAGAGAAAGAAGTGACAAGGAGATGGATGATAAACAAAAAAAACAATATTTACAACATTCTAATTGTTTTTTCCCTTGGAATTAATTAATCATATATACAAGCACGTGAGAATCATAAAAAAAGAAAGTAGCATCTACTATTTATCTATCTATTTATCCATTTTGACTTGGTATGACAAACATTTACAATAGAGAGATACAGATGGAGAACTTCGATTTTATATATATATGTATAATTAAAGAAAAATCGCGCGTGAAAGAAGGAAGAGAAGAAGAAAAGAAGAAAGGTTGAGACAATAAATCATCGTTATTATAAATTATAAATTATAACTATAATTATTAAAAAAACCAATTTTGGATCAATCTTACTTATTTATGTTCCGCTTTTTTTTTTCCTTGCTCCGTTTCTTTCAAGTTTTTCAACGAGTTTTTAGAAATCTAAACGTCATAACTTATTATACGCATGATTAGAGGCTATTATTATATAGGAAATAATTTATGTTAATGGCGTTAAATATGGCTTAAAAGATGAATGATAGTGGGTGAGTGAGTTATCATTGGTTGAAGTCGTGTGATTGAGATGTGGTAGTTAAGTTGACATATAAGTAAAGTAAAGCGAATGCGTGCGGAGAAGACAATATAGTTAGTTGTCAAAATCGTCTGTGTATAATTCTCGATGTTCTCACTAACAATATTTACTGATTATGGATAAATGCGTTGTTATTGATCTTTTTTGGCTCTATTTAACATATAAATTTGAAGAATTATGAAACACAAATTAAAAAAACGTGAATTTAATCTTAAAAAACATCCATATTTTTTGTGGTCTATGATTATTATTATTATTATACAATAATACAATAATTAATAATTTACAATAGTTTATTCAATAATAATAATAAATAGCCTTTTTCTTCTAATCATCACCACGCGTGTTATTTATTTATTTATTTTATTGTTTGTAGAACAAAAAACTTTATTATCCCATACAACAATAAATAAAAAAAAAGTGGAAACATATACTGAAACAGAAATTCAAAACTGCTCACACATGTATATATAAAATAAACAATAACACACAGCCTTTCTTCTCTTACTCTCTTTTTTTTATTATATATTTGCACCCCCCAAAAATATAATTTTATATATATATAATATTTTATAGTTTTTTAATTTAATTTAAAAAAAAAAAAAATATAATATTTTTCTTACAAAAAAATTTTTTTTTTTTAAAAAAAAAAAAACTCAAATTCTTTATTAATTCAAAAAAAAAAAAACTCAATTTTCAATATGAACGACGTTGCTAAAATAAAAAAGAATTCCATATTAGGGAAGGTTAAAAGCCTACGTATAAAGAAGAATGACAAAAATTCAGATAATGGTTCCAACGACAGCAATAATGCTGCTGTTAGTAAAAGGCCTTCTTCTATTCTTAATAATGGAAGCGAAAACAAAGAAAAAAGAAGATCAATTTTTGGTGGTGGTGGTGGAAAATCTAATGGTGGTATAGTGGTGGAGAAAGTAGAGAAAAAAGAGGTGACCGTCATCCCACCGAAAAATGAAAGTGATAATAAAAGTGTTAAAAGTACTAAAAGTACTAAAAGTATTAAAAGTACTAAAAGTGATAATAAAAGTGATAAAAGTTCTAGGGATAGCAGTGCTAGCAACACTATGGTTAATAGCATTGCTAGTGATTCCGCACCCTCTATCTCTCCTACTTCTATCACCCCTCCCACTACAGTTACCACTACCACCACCGCTTCAACTCCCACTTCAACCCCATCTACCCCACCACTTCAACCCATTGCTACTACAACCGACGTCAACGAAAACGATAACAATTCTGATGCGACTTCCGTTAACAGGATTAACGATAATAATATCGCTTCAGCAAATGTGGAAAACTACGAGAAAACTTTAAAGGACGATTTATCAAAGACTAATGAATCACTCCAAAAAGATTTAGCCAAGAATAATGCCGAAATTGAAGCTTTGAAACATGCCATCGAAGAAGAGAAATCACGTGGTGCGAATGAAATCGAAGACTTGAAACAAAAATTATCCTCTAAAATTGACGAATTGAGCAACCTAAACAACATTATACAAAACTCCAACCAAGAAATAAACGAACTAAAGGCAAAATTAACTCAGGAAGAGTCGCTAAAAGAAAAACTAAAGGCCGAGATCGATGAGAGTAAGAAACAGATTGAAAAGATAAATAAAGATGCGATTGAACAAAAAACCTCCTCTTCAGAAGCCAAAGTAGCTTTGGAAGTTAGCAAACACGAAATAAATCAACTAAAATCTGAATTGTCACAACGTAACTCTACCATGCAATCCTTAAATCAAGAATTGATCTCAAGTAGAAAAGAAGTTGATAAACTTAAAAAAGAGTCTGAACAACGTAACAAATCTGCCTCATCTTTACATTCCGATCTTGAAAATACAAAATTAGCTCTTCAATCAAGCAAAGACGAAATAAATAAATTGAAAGGAGAGTTAGATAATTCCAGAAAGCAAACTAAAAATTTCGAATTCGAATTATCCAACAATAAAAAAGAATTGGAAAATGTCAAACGAAATTCCATAAATGAAATAAATGAAAAATTCGTCGATAGGTCTGAATATGAAAACATTTTAAGCGATCTCAACAAGTATATCGAAATAAATCAAAATTTAAATCAAGAAATCGAAAAGCTAAAATTCAATCAGCCTATAAGCGGTGAAAATGAAAAACTAAAACTTGAATTGCAACAAATCAAAACTAAATACAACAACGACATGCAGAAATCTTCATCCGATCTGAAACAACGAAACGCTCAAATTGCTTCAATTAAAAATGATTTACAATCTGCAATAGAAAAAAGAGACGAAGCTATCAGACAAGCAAGAAATTCCAAATCAGAATACGACACTTTACAAAATTTCTTTAACAACATTCAATCCGATTCGGAGGAAAAAATTAAATCCTTGCAAGAATTGAGGTCTCAGTTGGACGCAAAAGAACAAACAATTCTACATCAAACAAATGTGATCCATTCAATGGTACCCAAAATCACTTACGATAGTTTAAATCAATCATTATTGAATAAACAATCCGAGTTAGAATATGTTAAAGCTGAATTGCAAACAACTAAATCTGATTTGGAATCTATTAAAACTGAATTACACCAAGTTAAATCAGATTTTGATTCAAGACTAGGTGGTGATTCAAGCTCGATTGATGAAATAAAAACTCAATTATCAAGTGCCAGAGCTCAATTACAAGCTAATATTTGGGAAAAGAATCGTAGCGATATAATCATTTCTGAATTGAAAAGTAAATTGGATGGTTTATCGGCCAGTAAAGGTGATTATTTAACTATCACCACTAATATCGTTAATTAGCATTATTTTATATTAATATTAATCTTATTTTATTATTTTATTATTGTAGATCAATCTAACCTATTGGAATCTCTAAATCAAAAATTACGTTTAGAACTTGAACAAACTAGAATACAAGGTAGGAATCAATTATCATTATAATAATTAATAATCATATATATATATATATATATACATATACATATGCACATGCAATTTATGCATACATCTTACATCTTCAAAATTATAGTCAAGAACGTTGAAAAATTAATGTCCGACAATGAGAAATTGAGAGCTGAAAATCAAAAATTACAATCAGAAATTGGTCAATCTAGAGCACAAGGTAAGAATTGATCTAATATTATAATAACAATAATATAGATTAATACATGTACATGCAACTTATACATCTTACACATTCAATATTTACATGATTATATAGTCTTACCCGACAATGAGAAATTAAGAGCTGAAAATGCAGAAGCCGTCAAAAACGATAAAACTTCTTCTTCTTCACATAAATATAACGGAATAAGTATTAATCGCTCAAACTCAAATATCAGTTCTTCTGATGATTCAGAAACGTCACCAACGTCTCCGCAATCATCTAACAAGAACAATCCTAATATTATTAAGAACAATACTAATGGTAACGTTAATGGCAACGTTAATGGCAGTAAAGTTAAAAAAAACAAACGTAAGAGTGTCGTGGAACCATTACATACTAGTAATGTAGAAACTACCGATCAAACAAATGATTACCCCAAACCTACCCCAAGGCCCAAAAAAAATGATAGTAACAATAACAGCGGCGAAGGCGAATGGATCACTGTTCAAAAAAGAAGAAGCATCAGGGTAAGGAACAGCATGGTAATAGCATAAAAAATATATATGTAAAGGTGATTTGAGCTTTTTATTATCTACTTGTTAAATTTGCTAAATAGTATTGTCTTCAATCAAAAAACCCTCTCGTAATTAACACTCCTTCCTTTCCTTTCTTTCCTTCCTTTTCTCCCTTTCCTCCTTTCTCCCTTTCCTTTCTTCCTCCCACCTACTTACTGTCTTTCTGTTTTCATGTCATGTAATATCAATATTATCATTACCCCAACTTCATTTCCTTCACTTTACTTCTCCTCCCCTCCCCCCCAATTCTTGTTTCGATCTTTACCTTTTCCCTGCAAAAAAACTCAACAAAAAATTCAAACTAATAGGTACTCCTCGCTTGTTTGGGTCTATATTTTTTATCATTTTTATATTATTATTATTTAAACAGTATTTGTGAAGAAGATGATAAAATTACCGATTTAAGAGAGTTATATTTTAATTATAATAGTTTTTTAAATAATTCTGTTTTAAATTCATTTTATTCTGTCAAAAATTTTATTATTGTATTTTATTTTAATTACATCAATGATTACATATCTAATATATTTAATTCAATCGATCGTTATTATTATTATTTTAATAATAATAGTAATAGTAATAATGATGATGATAAATTTTTTAATCCTTTAAACAATTATTTTAACATTATAATTGACAAAATTAATTTTATTTTTAATAATAATGATGATAATTTTAATGTGGATAAAGGAATCTACTAATTTAATTTAATTTAATTTAACTTCATTTTTTTTTTTTTTTTTTTGTGTATAGTGTAAATATCACATTTTTTATAGCATTATTGTTTAAAATTTAATGGGGATTTTATAATTAACATTTTTTACCTTTTGATTTATTAAATATTTTTTTTGGTGTGGTTTGAAAAAAAATTCAATTATATGCACATTGATAACCAATTAATTAGTTTTTTTTTTAATATGTGTTAGGTCAGGGAAGGGTTAGGTTTATAATATTAGAAACAGATTATTGGGTTAATTTTTATATATATACATATCATGACAATTTTTATTTTAATTTTATATATATCATTTTATTTTTTTATTTATTCCAGTCCATATAGATTAATAATATATCCATTTTTCTTTTTTTTTATAATAAATAGAAAAAAAATTTTAGTATTATTCATATTCATATTGTAACTGTGTTACACTGACCTTTACCTAAATAAATGCCTTTATTAAAATTGCTGCTGTGCTACAAACGTTAACTTCAGACAGACAAAGGAATCAGCCGTACCCTTATCTGTCTGTTTGTCATTTCAATCGTATGATTGTAAAAAAATTACGCGCGTATATATAATTCAACAAATTTTTTCTATCAAACACGCACACATTAGAGAAAAGTCAATAATACAAAAAAAAGAATTTGTTTAAACTTTTAGGAAACAAAACTTTTTTGTGCGTAATAATTAAATAATTGATGTTTGATTAAAAGAGCAAGTTGAGCAACTGATCAATTAAGATAACATATTAACACGATTCACATGAAATGAAATAGTATAAACGAAATATATTAATTAAACTTGAAAATTTAGAATTACGCGTTTTTATTGTGAAAGAAATTGCTAAACTCGCATCCATCAATTAAAAAATCTAACATTTTTTACTATAATTATGCTCAAGGTTTCCAAATAAAAGCTACCATCTCTCACCATAACCAAAAAAATTTGTTCCAAAAATACCGCGAAGCCCGAGTAATTGGTAAAGCTACCTTATTAAAAAATGATTTCTGACCGGGAACCACCTCAGATTCTAAATCAAAAATCACATCATCATCACCATCATGATTTATGATTTTTAAAAATCCCAAATCTCGATATTTTATTAACAAAGCATCCAACTCATCTCTTTGTGTTAGTGAAGCGATCGTTCCTTGTTTCCAAATGTTCATTGTAAAAGGCACAGTCCCTTTCCAATTTTTCATTAGAGTTTGCAAGGAATAATCCGAGATGGTAATTTTATAATCAATGGTCATTGATTTTAAATTTTCGGGTAAAGTTTGGTTTAAAACACCCAATATCCTATCACCATCTAATACATAACCAAACTGGAACTCGTTGAATGAAATGGCTTCTAGCTTGACACAATTATTAAACAAGTTTGCTAACTGTTGATCTGCTCCATTTCTGTAAAATGTAACCAAATGTTCTAAATCATGACAACATTCTCCGATTAGTTGTATCAGTTCAATGTATCCATCTTCGGCGTCAGTCGTATTGCCAGAAATGATAAGACGTTTAAGATTCATTCCATTATTCTTGATAAATTCTATCAAATCCGATAAATATTCCTGTTCAGTAAGCAATAAATGGAAATACTCGAGATTTGGAAATGAGTGATGTTTCATTATTCCCATGTTAATGTAATCTCTCAAGATTAGAAATTTCAAGTTTTGAAATGATGATATCACAAAAGATTCTAAATCGTGATTTCCGTTGCTAAAATAATAAGTTATGGATTGTGAATGAATCGAAATCGCCTCTTTGAAATCATCCGAAAAATCGACTTTGATGTTTGAAATAACAGCCAATTCTTTGATTTCGTTTTGTGCTTTTATTAATCGGGCGAGGCCACGGTCGACATTTATCTCGTATGAATCTTCCACGTTTATGTCTAAAATTTGAATATTTTTACAAACGTCTGCCAATCTATTGAAAAATTCTGCCCCGTTTGAAGAACAACATTCTAGCCTGAAAAGATTTTGGAAATTATCATCGAATCTATAGTGATAGATAAACAATTTAGAATTTTGATGATTCTTGATGAAATTAATGACTGAATGATCCAATATAAAATATAATAATTTTTCTTTAAAACATTTGAGTTTGTCGACTTGATCACCAAAGTCACCACTCCCACCTATCAAGTTTTCAACATTATTATAATAACACCAGACGTCTATTTCGTTAATAAATTTAGCATAGTTGTGCAATGGTGGGTTTTTCAATAAATTGAAATTCAATTCAATCTCATTTTCCACCAAGAAATCTTTTTCTTCTTCCAACAAACAGTTAATTATTATTTTCAAGCTGTTTTTGTGAGAAATGGATTTTCTCCATAACAATGGAATGCTGTTATTATGCCATTGTCTATTAACAAAAATGCAAGAATATATCGTTTTATAATCGTTTTCAAAATATCTGAACGTTTCTAACAAAAGTTCATTTGGTAAGTTTGAATTTGACATTTTTTTTTTTTTAATATTAAAGAGAAGAACGTGTAACACGGATGAGTAATTTATCAATTAATCGACCAATTAAAATCCAAATCGGTTTCTATGGGCCACCCACCCATAATGGGGAAATTTAAATTCTATTTTTAAATCGAGTTTTTTCCCACATTGTTTGATGATGATGTAACATCGTCTTTAAACGAATTTCCAAAATACACACACAAGCCGAAACAAATAAATAAATAAATAAATAGAAAAAATCTCCATTAAGTCATAAATAAAAAATGTCCGTAAAGAAATAACAAACACTACGTACATTGTGGGTAGTGGTGCATACACAGATCTCAAAAAAAGTAAAGGATCATTACAAAAAAATTCATATAAATTTTGGGTGTTTCTCCAAAAAAAATTTTTTTTTTCTTTTCTTTTTTTCTTTGGGCAATTAATTTCTTGTTATCTTTTTTTATTGATGATATTTTTTTGTGTGTGTGTATATATATATTAATAAAGTGTGTGGGATTTATTTATAAGGAGTTTGGACATTTTTAACGATATAGAGAAACAGCATTTTTTCAAAAAAATATTTTTTTGAAATATTTGCTCCTTGTAAATAAATATCATTCATTGCATTATCATCATCATATCATCCATCATAATTTTCTTTTTTATATATATATATATACACATTTGTAAATAATAAATAATATAATAATGGACTCCTCAAGGAAGATCGATGCACCACAAAATTGTCTGTAAGTAAATGATTGATTGATAAATTTTATAAATATTTTTGTTCGAGTTCCTAATTATTGTTTTTTTAAAAAACATTTTTAGATGGACACTGACAATTGTAAATTGTGTAGACCAAAGTTATTATCAAGCAATATATGATGTAACGATGTATTTATCATTGATAGTATTTCTATGCGCAGTTGGACTATTATTATGGCGTCAAAATAATAAAGCAGATGCAAGATTATTTTCTATAAAAGGGTTTTTGGCAATAGAAGGGTTTCTTTTCACTCAAATATTTTGGGGCATTTGTAAGTACCAAAATATTATTACTTTAAAAAAACATTTAAATGGTATATATTAATCGTAATTATTTTATTTCTTCTATGATAATTACACAGTACGAGTTGTTGATTGTGTCGTATTAACATACGATTATTTACCAACAAATATGATTTTGCGAGAAATGTTATTTGCCATTTCTTGGTTATTGGGTTCAATATCGGTAACAACATATTTAGCTGGCATATTAAGAACAATACCAAGAATACGTTTCTATCGTCAAAAATCAGATCCAAATTATAAACAAAAACTTAACCTACCAAGTCTTCAAAGTTTAGCCATCACCTACTTTTGTTACATATCTATAATAGGAATCATAGTCACAACATGCTCATTTTTCATTGGCTATTTTGAAATGTATCCTGACTCTCATCCAAATTCAGCAATGATAGCATTCATTATGAAATTGACCGAATATGGCGTTTTTGCGATTTGTTGTTTCTTGATATCATTTGGATTCATAATGTATGGTAATAAATTGATCAGTATAGCAGGCGAAGGGTTGGATCTATTGGAAAGTGTAAATGACTATCAAAGTCACATCAAGTCAAAAAGTTCTCATAATACTGGCTATAGTTTATTAGGATTAGAATTGGAAATGAAGCATAAAAGGTTAAAACGCAGTGTTTACAAGGTGGTTATCAATAATATTAATTTTATCATTTGTCAAAAAACTCCATATTTACTAATGATGAAAATAATTTTATTTTTTCTACAATAAATATAGATGCATATAATAAACATTTCATTTATTTCTTCTATACTAATTTTGGGAATAATATTAGCTACTTCTGCAATCTTTTTCCAACAAACATATGAGAATCTAATCATCAATAAAATATTTGCTGCGTTTACTAATTTATTTCCAATGTTGGTAAATGTTGCTGTAATGGCAGGAATAGTATACGGGTAATTAATGGATTTTATTTAATCTTAATTTATTTATTGGTCAAAAGGAGAAAGATATTGATTTTTTCTCTCCCCATCTTTATTTTAAAATAGTGAAATGAAGGTTCCTAATAAATATGAAGATTTTGGTATTTCCTCCACACCAACAAATAGTCAACCGCCACCAAGAGAATCAATAGATGCTCATATGAGAAATCCTTCGGCTGATTCAGAATCTCCTTTATT